AGACGGAGTCTCGCCCTGTCGCCAGGCTGGAGTGCAATGGCGAGATCTTGACTCACTGCAACCTCCGCCTCCTGGGTTCAAGTGATTCTCCTGCCTTAGCCTCCTGAGTAGGTGGGATTACAGACGCGCACCACCATGTCCTGCTAATTTTTGTATTTTTAGTAGAGATGGGGTTTCACCATGTTGGCCAGGATGGTTTCGAACTCCTGACCTCGTGATCCGCCCACCTTGGCCTCCCAAAGTGCTGGGATTACAGGCGTTGTTCATTAATTCTTACCTCAACGTTGTGCTATCCCCATGTTAGGGGTGAGAAACTGTCCCTAACACGTTAGGATGAGGAGCAGAGAGGTTAAAGAACTTTCGACTGGAGGCGGTGGCTCATGCTTGTAATCCCAGCGCTTTGGGAGGCTGAGGTGGGCAGATCACTTGAGTCCAGGAGTTCGAGACCAGCCTGGCCAACATGGCAAGACCCTGTCTCTACTAAAAATACAATAATTAGCCGGGCAAGGTGACAGGCAACTGTAATCCCAGCTACTCAGGAGGCTGAGGCAGGAGAATCGCTTGAACCTGGGAGGCAGAGGTTGCAGTGAGCCGAGATCACCCCATTGCGTTCCAGCCTGGGCAACAGAGCGAGACTCTGTCAAAAACAAAAAAACAAAACTAAACAAAACAAAAAAACAAACAAAAAAAACTTTCCCCGGGTGCAATGGCTCATGCCTGTAATCCCAGCACTTTGGGAAGCCAAGGCAGGAGGATCTCTCAAGCCCAGGAGTTCGAGACCTGCCTGGACACACAGCTCAGGCTCCGTGGACTAGGATGTTAAACCCAGGCCTGCCTGACTCCAGCACGCTCTCAAGCTCTGCTCTCCTGCAAGGCTGGCACAGAGGAGCAGGGATCGTGGCGCTGTCTGAGGGCACAGCCAGGTGGGTGTCTAGGAGGGCGGGCTGAGGACACGGTCAGAACTCTTCACATTGCCTGCTTTTTGTTACATGCCTTTCTGTCTTGGGTTTATGGCCGTGGGCTGGGAAACTCATGGTTGTTGGCTCAAAGCAGCAATCAACAGAGTGAACTCTAACAAGCTGGCTTCTGAAACGTCAGGGTGGGAGCAGCCGGCCAGGGAGGAATGGGGTAAAGAACATGGAGGAGAGGAGGAGGGAGGAAGCTGATGAATGCATTCTCAAGTTCATCGTCACTGTACCCTGTCAAGATGAGAACTGTCTTCGCCATGGTTAGATGAAGAGACTGAGGCTCAGAGACTCGCCCAAGGACACACAGTTAGACAGTGGAGGGGCAGGGTTGGAACCCCATCTGTCTGACTTTAAGGCCGGGGATATTGTGTCGAGGTGATCTCGTCTGTTCTCCCAGAGAGATGGCTGTGTCTGAGACATCTCCATAGCCATGGCGCTGGGCCGGACACAAGTCAGTGCTTGGCGAATGTTTGTTTAGTGGAGGATGGAGAGTGGATGTATGGAGGTACAGATGACGAATGGAAAGGCAGAAAGACAATGGCTAGTTAGGTGGATAGATGGTGGGATGGCTATATAGGTAGAAAGAAGGAAAGAAGCAAAGATAGTGGTGAAGAGATAGATATATGGATGAAAAAATGATACTGGGCCGGGTGCGGTGGCTCACGCCTGTAATCTCAGCACTTTGGGAGGCCGAGACGGGTGGATCACGACGAGGTCAGGGTTCGAGACCAGCCTGGCCAGCAAGGTGAAACTCCATCTCTACTAAAAATACAAAAACTACCTGGGCATTGTGGTGGCTGCATGTAATCCCAGCTACTCAGGAGGCTGAGGCAGGAGAATCACTTGAACCCAGGAGCCGGAGGTTGCAGTGAGATTGTGTCATTGCACTCCAGCCTGGGCAGTAGAGTGAGACTCTGTCTCAAAAAAAAAAAAATGTTCCTGAATGGATGGTTGGATGATTCAAACGACTTTCAGATGGATAGAAGGATGGATGGATGGATGACTGGGTAGACAAGTGAATGCCAAGCAGGAGGGAAGGAAGGGAGAGAGGACAGAGAGAAAGGGAAAAAGGGAGCAATAAAAGGGAAAAAGGGGTCGGGCATGGCGGCTCACACCTGTAATCCCAGCACTTTGGGAAGCTAAGGTGGACAGATGGCTTGAGCCCAAGAGTTTGAGACCAGCCTGGGCAACATGGTGAGACCCTGTGTCTACAAAAAATCAAAAAATTAGCAAGGTGTGGTGGCACATGCTTGCAGTCCCAGCTACTTGAGAAGCTGAGGTGGGAAGATCACTTGAGTCCAGGAGATTGAGGCTGCAGTGAGCTATAATTCTGCCATTGCACTCCAGCCTGGATGACAGAGTGAGATCCTGTCTCAAAAATTAAAAAAGAGAGAGAAGGTTGGGCGCCGTGGCTCACACCTGTAATCCCAGCACTTTGGGAGGCCGAAGTGGGTGGATCACGAGGTCAGGAGATCGAGACCATCCTGGCTAACACAGTGAAACCCCATCTCTACTAAAAATACACACA